CACACACACACACACACACACACACAGAGAGAGAGAGAGAGAGAGAGAGAGAGAGAGAGAGAGAGAGAGAGAGAGAGAGAGAGAGAGAGAGAGCCAGGTACGTGGTTGTCAATGTCTGCGGAAGCCCGTGCTTGCTCAGACCCCGATGCTAACACCCCCACCACCATACCCCCCCCAACCCCCGATCCCCAAGCCCTGAAAATAACACCATCCTCCCCCCCACAAAAAAAAAGAAAGTTCTCTGTTCAAAGTTTTCTTTGCGAGCAGAGTCCAACCATGTTTTCAAAAGAATAAAAAATAAAAACATTTGGCCCAGTTTTGGACTCAACCGGAATTCCTGTTGGACCACCGTGCATCCAACCGGTCTGGTTGGATCCGGTCCGGTCCAACCGGCCGGTGGCCGCCACAGCCCTGCTCTTGACTAGTATCCGAACTCTTCCCCCTCTCTCTTGACATTTATACTGTTTTTGCCCCGTTTCCCTTTCCTCTCTCTTCCTCTTACTGCACGACCATTTCATGTTCACTGTCTTGTTATGTCCCTGTTCTCTCTGCACAGAACTCACACCCTTCTTTGAACTGTAGGGTCCATCCAGATACTTGTGCTAAACGCGTTGGAAATGGTGGCCGAGTCAGCAAGACATTTCATTTTTGTCTGGTTAAGAAACCAATTTACTCAGGCAATAGTTCAGGGCAGAGAGTCTCTCCCCTCAGGGTTGCGCCAAACTACAAGCGATGGGTGGAAGGGATATGGGCACTCCCTGCCAGCCAACTAGGAGGCGCAAGGTGACTATCTCAGCTGGAGAACACGCAGCGCGCCTCAGGGGCCGTGGGATTTCCCGGTCCGAACCCTGAGGGGGTAGGCTCAACCCATAACCCTTTGTGTAGCTGGCTTGTGTTTCATACATAAAGACTGTGGCGTTCCAGGCTAGGTAGGTAGGTAGTGAGAGGCATATTGAGAGAAGAATAATAGAATATAGATTAAGGGGAATAAAAAACAAGGTTCAGGGCAGAGAGCACAATTTCCCTTGTGCACACAGTGTACCAACCCACCCGCAGAGAAAACAAAGTCAACAACTTGTTTTAAGTCTATCAGTCATACAAGAAAAAAAACTCCCTCCCTCCCTCTCTCTCTCTCTCTCTCTCTCTCTCTCTCTCTCTCTCTCTCTCTCTCTCTCTCTCTCTCTCTCTCTCCACCTACCCACTCGAATCAAATTGAATCGAACCCAATCGAATTGACCTATCATTCTTTCTTTCTTTCTTTCTTTCTTTTGGGGAGTGATTTCTGGTGCGGATATCTACTCTGAATGGTGTGCTGGTTGCATATTCCACAAGTCTCCTGTGCAATACAGGGTTCCTTTATTTTTGTTTTTGTGAAGGGGATGTGGAATGTGTATTTGATTGGTTATTTGGTTTGGTCGTGTCCTCTGGAGCACATATGCCAGCCACCAAAGTTCGATGGAACAGAAGCTGCAGAAAGAGTCTCAACCCCTGGTGTAGCAGTGGGGCTTGTGTGGACTGCTGTTGGCGGGGAGGTCCAGTTTGTTGAAGCCTCGACAATGAGTGGAAAGGGCGAACTGCAGCTCACCGGCCAGCTCGGGGACGTGATCAAGGAGTCTGCACAGATTGCATTGACGTGGGTAAGGAATTGACAAAAGTTGAAATGTTCAAAACAGTTTGAAGTTTCAAGGGAGGAAAAATAAAACGAGAAAAAAAAAATGAAAGATCAATGGGAAAAAGATTAGAAGATGAAGGGAAAAGCAAATTTAAAAACGAGGGGGAAAAGAACAAAAAAATTGAAGGGGAAAAATTCAAATATGGGTTTCCCTATCCCTTCCCTTCCCTATCCCTATACTCTTAAAGACTACAAAGGGCCCAGCGTGACGCCCTGTGCTGGGCCCAGCGGAAATCTGTATGGAGGCCGACGGTCCGAGCGGGACTGAGGGCGAAGGGTGCCGTGGGATCGCGGATGAGAATTTTTGGGAGGCGCAAATCTGTTTGGAGGCCGACGGCCTGAGTGGGACTGAGGGCAAAGGGTGCCGTGGCGGAACCGTGCGTGATGCACCATTCCGTAATGTATGGGACGGTTCGGCGTCATGGGGGTACCCGTCGCGGCGGCGCGGCGCATTCTGGCTGCGGAGGGTGGATCACCATTCCGTAACGAAAATTCAACCACGTAGTGTATGTTTCCATGTTCTAGCCGAAGATTCATTGGATGTTGCTCATACTATCGATGGAAGTAGCATGGCGCGAGCCGCGAGGTCGGAGAGTTATCGTCTCTCTCTCTCTCTCTCTCTCTCTCTCTCTCTCTCTCTCTCTCTCTCTCTCTCTCTCTCTCT